TCTCCTGTTTAGTTTGTATTCAGCCCCTATCATCCTTACAATAATTATTTCCCAGCCATAGCCTATCACTGATTTATTAAGTTCAGGTTAATAATGTTTAGTTTAATCTCATGAATGCAATGTCTAATGAATCAATTGTGCACACACTGCCATTATAGGCATATTGCAATAATGGGATATTAGTATTTAGTTTTTTTTTCATATTTATTATTAGTTTTAAGTAAATTCCCTTCTGTCCCTGTTTAGTTTATATTCAGCCCTATTTAATATAACAAGTTTTTTTGAAAGAAATCAGCAAGATTCAGAAACAATTAGACACTATTCATACGCACTGTTGGATTTATACCAAATCGTACCCAGAAAAGACAAAAGTGTATTTCCAAATAACTTACTCTGTGTGAAAAATTTGCTAATTGACTAAAGGATCCATTTTTGAGGAAAAAGAAGCAAAGAAATTGCTACGTAATAATCCTACAGAATTTTACACATTCAGAGATGAATTCATATTGTTCAGTGAAGAAGAGGAAACAACAGAAAATAGAGCAGCTACGCAAGTACACCAGCCGAACACGATCGAGGATCAACAAAATTTTAATGCCCATTCACCTGATTCGCCTAACACAGAACAGTTATACAAAATCATTGAAGTGCAACAAAAGCAAATAGATTCCCTCACCAATATGATCAGAGATCGAGGAGCCAGTCAGCAAACAAAGGAAAGTGGAAACTATTCACGTTCTCCACCTGTGTGTTTTGAGTGCGGTAAAGTTGGCCATATCAAGAGAAATTGTAGATCTAAACTTCGGGTAACAGCAACCAAAACGTCTGAAAACATGTAACATCTATTGGTACGAGTCCGGCAATAGATGATAATCAGCAGGACTCATCAATTAATCATCATCCTATAGGAAAGTGTCCTATGATTGATATTTGTGTATCTAATGTTAAAGTACCATGTTTATTAGCATATACCGGTTCAATGGTGTCAACATTATCAAAAAGTGTTTACAACAAGTTTACTAGACCTGTAGGAAAAACTATCATCCAAAACAATGTCATTCACTCAAAGCTGCAAATGGACTTGACATACCGTATATAGGCTATGTAAAAATTGATGTTCAGTATCAAGGGAATATTATTCCGCAACGTGGTTTCCTTATTGTGAAAGACATCAGTGATAGTGAAACTAGAATGCGCAAGGAAGATGTACCTGGTCTTATTGGCATGAATGTTCTTAGTGTTTGTAAGAATATTTTATCTACCTGTAACGTTCCGGTCAATGGGAATTTAAATGAAATATTTACAGATAACGGTGTGTTCGATAGGAAAGTTATTCATGGATTCGCTCGAGTGAACAGAGCATTACCTGTTCTCATTCCAGCAAATTGTGCTATTGTTGTCAATTGTATAGGACCTCATATTGATAGTGACGTGGTTGTTGACCTTTTGATCAATGGAAGACACTTGCATAGAAATTTTAGGATTGTGCATACCTGTAATATTGTTACCAAAGTAAAATAATGGGTTAGAGTCGCAAAGATTGGTGATAAGATATTTATATCAAACCATGAACAATGATTGGCACTGTGTCTAAATGTGAAATTCAAAGTGAAAATTCTACTATTGAGTTCAACAACATGGGGTCGTCTGCGTGGCGCAGTGGTTAGAGCGTCTGCTCTAGAGTCGCGAAGTAAGGAGTCAATCCTTACTTCGCGGGTTCAAATCCCACTGCGGGACGTGGAGATGGATCTTTCGGATGAGACCATATAAACTGAGGTCCCATGTCATAGGTGCTGGCACGAAAAAGATCCTTCCCTGCTCAATGGCCCTGAGTGCCGAGTAAAGGACAAGATTTGCAGCAAATGGTGATGTCTCCATATGAGTGAAAAATTCTCAACTCAACAGTACGTTAAACAATATACAATCAATCAACTGCATGGGAAATGTGGAAGAAGTATTTGTTCACAAACGTCAATCTGAAAAAGATCTGTGCCCTGATGAAAAAGAACTAATCAGCTTGCTTTTCTGGAAATACAGTGACATTTTTTCTAAAAACAGCAATGATATTGGATGTACTAGTACAGTGCAGCATCGTATTCATCTTCACAGATAATAAACCAGATTCGCAGCAGTATCATAGGCATCCCTCCATCCCAATACGAGAAAGTAGAGCAACATATCTGAAAGCTGTTTGATTTAGGTGTTATTCGTGAAAATACAAGTCCTTTGGCTTCTCTCATTGTACTCGTGCAGAAGAAAGAGAACTCTTTATGACTATGCCTAGATTACAGGAGACTAAACGAGAAAACAATCAAGGACAAGTTTCCCCAACCAAGAGTGGAAGAAATGTTTGATGCTTTATATGGATCTTCTATTTTTTCAACACTAGATCTTACTGCTGGTTACAATCTAGATATTGCAGAAGAGGACATACAGAAAACAGCCATTACTAATCCTTTTGTACTGTATGAATATTTGAGTATGCCATTTGGTATAAACGCACCAGCAACTTTTCAATGTCTGATGCAACACTGCTTCTGTGAAGAAGTGATTAGAATCTTCCTCGTATTCCTTGCCGATATCATCATTTTTTCAAGGTCAATACGTGAAAATGTTCAGCATTTAGACAGAGTGTTTTCCATCTTACGTCATCATGGACTTTTTTAATAATTTGAAAATGAAAAATTGTTGATTTTTCAGGCCTTATGTGAAGTATCATTGTGTCATGTTGTCAGTAAAAATGGAATTAGCAAAGATGAGGATAAAATTAAGTGCATTGTGAACTGGAATGTTCCACAAAATGTGAAGGAAGTGCAATCATTTCTTGGATTTGAAGGATATTACCACTGATTTATGAAACATTTTTCGCAAATTGCAGAACCCCTTCCACTGTTGACGTTGACATGCATCGAAAGAAAATAGATTGTGTTCAAAATGCTTGAGCTTTACATCAAACAAACTTTTGACTGATTGAAAGTTGTGAGGACCAAGAAAGACACTAAACATACCAAGACATTTTTCGGTGACAAATGGTCAAAGGAATGTCAACTCTCGTTTGATTGACTATTAGTACCTAGTGGGTTTTTTTTTCGTATTTATTCCCTGTTTTAAGTAAATTCCCTTCCTTCCCTGTTTAGTTGGTATTCAGCCCCTATCATCTTTATAGTAATTATTCCCAGCCATAGCCTATCACCGATTTGATAATTAAGTTAAGTTTAGGATGCAATGTCTAAATGAATCAATCATGCACACACCGCCATTATAGGCATTGAAATAATAGGATATTACTATATGTTTTTTTTCAATATTGCATATTGCAATAATGGGATATTAGTATCTAGTTTTTTTCATATTGATTCCTTGTTTTAAGTAAATTCCCTTCCTTCCCTGTTTAGTTGGTATTCAGCCCCTATCATCTTTATAGTAATTATTTCCCAGCCATAGCCTATCACTGATTTATCAATTAAGTTAAGGTTAGGATGCAATGTTTAAATGTATCACTCATGCACACACCGCTATTATAGGCATTCCAATAATGGGATATTAGTATCTAGGGTCTTTGTCATAGCAGTTTCTAAGTTTTGTTCATATTTATTCCCTGTTTTCAGTAAATTCCCTTTCATCCCTGTTTACTTGGTATTCAAACCCCTATCATCTTTATAATAATTATTTCCCAGCTATAACATATCACTGATTTATTTGGTATTTAGCTCCCTATCATCTTTATTGTAATTCAGTAATTAAGGTTAAGTTTAATCTTATGAATGCAATGTATAAATGAATCACTCATGCACACTGCCATAATAGGCATATTGCAAATAATGGGATATTTGTATCTAAGGTTTTTGTCATATTTGTTCTAAATTATCAGTTAAGTTAATGTTAGGATGCAATGTCTAAATTAATCAATCATGCACACACATTATTATAGGCATATTGCAATAATGGGATAGCAGTATCTAAGTTTTGTTCATATTTATTCCCTGTTTTCAGTAAATTCCCTTTCATCCCTGTTTACTTGGTATTCATACCCCTATCATCTTTATAATAATTATTTCCCAGCCATAGCCTACCACTGATTTATCAAATAAGCTAAGGTTAGTATGCAATGTCTAAATGAATCACTGATGCACACACCGCTATTATAGGCATTCCAATAATGGGATATTAGTATCTAGGGTCTTTGTCATATTTGTTCTCTGTTTGAAGTAAATTCCCATTCTTCTCTGTTAAGTTGGTATTCAGTCCCTATCATCTTTATAGTAATTATTTCCCAGCTATAACATATTACTGATTTATCAATTAAGTTAAGGTTAGGTGTAATCTTATGAATGCAGTATCTAAATGAATCACTTGCACACACCGTCATTTAGGCATTGCAATCATGAGATTCTAGTGTCTGGTTTTGTAAAGTTATTGATTCTCTCTTTTAAGTAAATTCCAGTCCTTCCCTGTTTAGTTGGTATTTAGCTCCCTATCATCTTTATAGTAATTATTTAGCAGCCATAACTCATCACTGATTTAAAAATTAAGTTAAGGTTAGAATGAAATGTCTAAATGAATCACTCATGCCCATACCGCCATTAAAGACATTGCAATAATGGGATATAAGTTTCTAGGGTTTTTGTCATATTTCTTCTCTGTTTGAAGTAAATGGCCCTCCTTCCCTGTTTAGTTGGTATTCAGCCCCCTATCATTTTTACAGTAATTATTTCCCAGCCATAGCCTTTCACTGATTTATCAAATAAGCTAAGGTTAGGATGCACTGATTTAATTTATTTAAGGTTAGGATATTAATGTTTTTGTCAATATTTGTATTCTCTGTTTGAAGTAACACACCCCGTAAGTTGGTATTCAGTGCACATTTCCCAGCTATAACATGCAATTTAGCTCCCTATCATCTTTATTGCAATTCAGTAATTATTAAGTTTAATCTTATGAACACACCGCTGCAATCACATGCATTGCACACATAAGGTTTTTGTCATATTGCAAATAATGGGATATTTGTAACTAAGGTTTTTGTCATATTTGTTCTAAATTATCAGTTAAGTTAATGTTAGGATGCAATGTCTAAATTAATCAATCATGCACACACCGTTATTATAGGCATATTGCAATAATGGGATAGCAGTATCTAAGTTTTGTTCATATTTATTCCCTGTTTTCAGTAAATTCCCTTTCATCCCTGTTTACTTGGTATTCATACCCCTATCATCTTTATAATAATTATTTCCCAGCCATAGCCTACCACTGATTTATCAAATAAGCTAAGGTTAGTATGCAATGTCTAAATGAATCACTGATGCACACACCGCTATTATAGGCATTCCAATAATGGGATATTAGTATCTAGGGTCTTTGTCATATTTGTTCTCTGTTTGAAGTAAATTCCCATTCTTCTCTGTTAAGTTGGTATTCAGTCCCTATCATCTTTATAGTAATTATTTCCCAGCTATAACATATTACTGATTTATCAATTAAGTTAAGGTTAGGTGTAATCTTATGAATGCAGTATCTAAATGAATCACGCACACACCGTCATTTAGGCATTGCAATCATGAGATTCTAGTGTCTGGTTTTGTAAAGTTATTGATTCTCTCTTTTAAGTAAATTCCAGTCCTTCCCTGTTTAGTTGGTATTTAGCTCCCTATCATCTTTATAGTAATTATTTAGCAGCCATAACTCATCACTGATTTAATAATTAAGTTAAGGTTAGGATGCAATGTCTAAATGAATCACTCATGCCCATACCGCCATTAAAGGCATTGCAATAATGGTATATGAGTTTCTAGGGTTTTTGTCATATTTCTACTCTGTTTGAAGTAAATGCCCTTCTTCCCTGTTTACTTGGTATTCATACCCCTATCATCTTTATAATAATTATTTCCCAGCCATAGCCTACCACTGATTTATCAAATAAGCTAAGGTTAGGATGCAATGTTTGAATGTATCACTCATGCACACACAGCTATTATAGGCATTCCAATAATGGGATATTAGTATCTAGGGTCTTTGTCATATTTGTTCTCTGTTTGAAGTAAATTCCCTTCCTTCCCTGTTAAGTTGGTATTCAGTCCCTATCATCTTTATAGTTATTATTTCCCAGCTATAACATATCACTGATTTATTTGGTATTTAGCTCCCTATCATCTTTATTGCAATTCAGTAATTAAGGTTAAGTTTAATCTTATGAATGCAATGTATAAATGAATCACTCATGCACACTGCCATAATAAGCATATTGCAAATAATGGGATATTTGTAACTAAGGTTTTTGTCATATTTGTTCTAAATTATCAGTTAAGTTAATGTTAGGATGCAATGTCTAAATTAATCAATCATGCACACAACGTTATTATAGGCATATTGCAATAATGGGATAGCAGTATCTAAGTTTTGTTCATATTTATTCCCTGTTTTCAGTAAATTCCCTTTCATCCCTGTTTACTTGGTATTCATACCCCTATCATCTTTATAATAATTTATTTATCAAATAAGCTAAGGTTAAGCAATGTCTAAATGAATCACTGATTTTCCAGCCATAGCCTACCACTGATTTATCAAATAAGCTAAGGTTAGTATGCAATGTCTAAATGAATCACTGATGCACACACCGCTATTATAGGCATTCCAATAATGGGATATTAGTATCTAGGGTCTTTGTCATATTTGTTCTCTGTTTGAAGTAAATTCCCATTCTTCTCTGTTAAGTTGGTATTCAGTCCCTATCATCTTTATAGTAATTATTTCCCAGCTATAACATATTACTGATTTATCAATTAAGTTAAGGTTAGGTGTAATCTTATGAATGCAGTATCTAAATGAATCACGCACACACCGTCATTTAGGCATTGCAATCATGAGATTCTAGTGTCTGGTTTTGTAAAGTTATTGATTCTCTCTTTTAAGTAAATTCCAGTCCTTCCCTGTTTAGTTGGTATTTAGCTCCCTATCATCTTTATAGTAATTATTTAGCAGCCATAACTCATCACTGATTTAATAATTAAGTTAAGGTTAGGATGCAATGTCTAAATGAATCACTCATGCCCATACCGCCATTAAAGGCATTGCAATAATGGTATATGAGTTTCTAGGGTTTTTGTCATATTTCTACTCTGTTTGAAGTAAATGCCCTTCTTCCCTGTTTACTTGGTATTCATACCCCTATCATCTTTATAATAATTATTTCCCAGCCATCATGCCCATACCGCCATTAAAGGCATTGCAATAATGGTATATGAGTTTCTAGGGTTTTTGTCATATTTCTACTCTGTTTGAAGTAAATGCCCTTCTTCCCTGTTTACTTGGTATTCATACCCCTATCATCTTTATAATAATTATTTCCCAGCCATAGCCTACCACTGATTTATCAAATAAGCTAAGGTTAGGATGCAATGTTTGAATGTATCACTCATGCACACACAGCTATTATAGGCATTCCAATAATGGGATATTAGTATCTAGGGTCTTTGTCATATTTGTTCTCTGTTTGAAGTAAATTCCCTTCCTTCCCCGTTAAGTTGGTATTCAGTCCCTATCATCTTTATAGTTATTATTTCCCAGCTATAACATATCACTGATTTATTTGGTATTTAGCTCCCTATCATCTTTATTGTAATTCAGTAATTAAGGTTAAGTTTAATCTTATGAATGCAATGTATAAATGAATCACTCATGCACACTGCCATAATAAGCATATTGCAAATAATGGGATATTTGTAACTAAGGTTTTTGTCATATTTGTTCTAAAAATTATTAAGTTAATGTTAGGATGCAATGTCTAAATTAATCAATCATGCACACACCGTTATTATAGGCATATTGCAATAATGGGATAGCAGTATCTAAGTTTTGTTCATATTTATTCCCTGTTTTCAGTAAATTCCCTTTCATCCCTGTTTACTTGGTATTCATACCCCTATCATCTTTATAATAATTATTTCCCAGCCATAGCCTACCACTGATTTATCAAATAAGCTAAGGTTAGTATGCAATGTCTAAATGAATCACTGATGCACACACCGCTATTATAGGCATTCCAATAATGGGATATTAGTATCTAGGGTCTTTGTCATATTTGTTCTCTGTTTGAAGTAAATTCCCATTCTTCTCTGTTAAGTTGGTATTCAGTCCCTATCATCTTTATAGTAATTATTTCCCAGCTATAACATATTACTGATTTATCAATTAAGTTAAGGTTAGGTGTAATCTTATGAATGCAGTATCTAAATGAATCACGCACACACCGTCATTTAGGCATTGCAATCATGAGATTCTAGTGTCTGGTTTTGTAAAGTTATTGATTCTCTCTTTTAAGTAAATTCCAGTCCTTCCCTGTTTAGTTGGTATTTAGCTCCCTATCATCTTTATAGTAATTATTTAGCAGCCATAACTCATCACTGATTTAATAATTAAGTTAAGGTTAGGATGCAATGTCTAAATGAATCACTCATGCCCATACCGCCATTAAAGGCATTGCAATAATGGTATATGAGTTTCTAGGGTTTTTGTCATATTTCTACTCTGTTTGAAGTAAATGCCCTTCTTCCCTGTTTACTTGGTATTCATACCCCTATCATCTTTATAATAATTATTTCCCAGCCATAGCCTACCACTGATTTATCAAATAAGCTAAGGTTAGGATGCAATGTTTGAATGTATCACTCATGCACACACAGCTATTATAGGCATTCCAATAATGGGATATTAGTATCTAGGGTCTTTGTCATATTTGTTCTCTGTTTGAAGTAAATTCCCTTCCTTCCCTGTTAAGTTGGTATTCAGTCCCTATCATCTTTATAGTTATTATTTCCCAGCTATAACATATCACTGATTTATTTGGTATTTAGCTCCCTATCATCTTTATTGCAATTCAGTAATTAAGGTTAAGTTTAATCTTATGAATGCAATGTATAAATGAATCACTCATGCACACTGCCATAATAAGCATATTGCAAATAATGGGATATTTGTAACTAAGGTTTTTGTCATATTTGTTCTAAATTATCAGTTAAGTTAATGTTAGGATGCAATGTCTAAATTAATCAATCATGCACACAACGTTATTATAGGCATATTGCAATAATGGGATAGCAGTATCTAAGTTTTGTTCATATGTATTCCCTGCTTTCAGTAAATTCCCTTTCATCCCTGTTTACTTGGTATTCATACCCCTATCATCTTTATAATAATTATTTCCCAGCCATAGCCTACCACTGATTTATCAAATAAGCTAAGGTTAGTATGCAATGTCTAAATGAATCACTGATGCACACACCGCTATTATAGGCATTCCAATAATGGGATATTAGTATCTAGGGTCTTTGTCATATTTGTTCTCTGTTTGAAGTAAATTCCCATTCTTCTCTGTTAAGTTGGTATTCAGTCCCTATCATCTTTATAGTAATTATTTCCCAGCTATAACATATTACTGATTTATCAATTAAGTTAAGGTTAGGTGTAATCTTATGAATGCAGTATCTAAATGAATCACACCTGCACACACCGTCATTTAGGCATTGCAATCATGAGATTCTAGTGTCTGGTTTTGTAAAGTTATTGATTCTCTCTTTTAAGTAAATTCCAGTCCTTCCCTGTTTAGTTGGTATTTAGCTCCCTATCATCTTTATAGTAATTATTTAGCAGCCATAACTCATCAATAATTAAGTTAAGGTTAGGATGCAATGTCTAAATGAATCACTCATGCCCATACCGCCATTAAAGGCATTGCAATAATGGTATATGAGTTTCTAGGGTTTTTGTCATATTTCTACTCTGTTTGAAGTAAATGCCCTTCTTCCCTGTTTACTTGGTATTTATACCCCTATTATCTTTATAATAATTATTTCCCAGCCATAGCCTACCACTGATTTATCAAATAAGCTAAGGTTAGGATGCAATGTTTGAATGTATCACTCATGCACACACCGCTATTATAGGCATTCCAATAATGGGATATTAGTATCTAGGGTCTTTGTCATATTTGTTCTCTGTTTGAAGTAAATTCCCTTCCTTCCCTGTTAAGTTGGTATTCAGTCCCTATCATCTTTATAGTAATTATTTCCCAGCTATAACATATCACTGATTTATTTGGTATTTAGCTCCCTATCATCTTTATTGCAATTCAGTAATTAAGGTTAAGTTTAATCTTATGAATGCAATGTATAAATGAATCACTCATGCAACTAATAAGCATATTGCATGGTCATATTTGTTCTAAATTATCAGTTAAGTTAATGTTAGGATGCAATGTCTAAATTAATCAATCATGCACACACCGTTATTATAGGCATATTGCAATAATGGGATAGCAGTATCTAAGTTTTGTTCATATGTATTCCCTGTTTTCAGTAAATTCCCTTTCATCCCTGTTTACTTGGTATTCATACCCCTATTATCTTTATAATAATTATTTCCCAGCCATAGCCTACCACTGATTTATCAAATAAGCTAAGGTTAGTATGCAATGTCTAAATGAATCACTGATGCACACACCGCTATTATAGGCATTCCAATAATGGGATATTAGTATCTAGGGTCTTTGTCATATTTGTTCTCTGTTTGAAGTAAATTCCCATTCTTCTCTGTTAAGTTGGTATTCAGTCCCTATCATCTTTATAGTAATTATTTCCCAGCTATAACATATTACTGATTTATCAATTAAGTTAAGGTTAGGTGTAATCTTATGAATGCAGTATCTAAATGAATCACGCACACACCGTCATTTAGGCATTGCAATCATGAGATTCTAGTGTCTGGTTTTGTAAAGTTATTGATTCTCTCTTTTAAGTAAATTCCAGTCCTTCCCTGTTTAGTTGGTATTTAGCTCCCTATCATCTTTATAGTAATTATTTAGCAGCCATAACTCATCACTGATTTAATAATTAAGTTAAGGTTGCAATGTCACTCATGCCCATACCGCCATTAAAGGCATGATGCAATGTCTAAATGAATCACTCATGCCCATACCGCCATTAAAGGCATTGCAATAATGGTATATGAGTTTCTAGGGTTTTTGTCATATTTCTACTCTGTTTGAAGTAAATGCCCTTCTTCCCTGTTTACTTGGTATTCATACCCCTATCATCTTTATAATAATTATTTCCCAGCCATAGCCTACCACTGATTTATCAAATAAGCTAAGGTTAGGATGCAATGTTTGAATGTATCACTCATGCACACACAGCTATTATAGGCATTCCAATAATGGGATATTAGTATCTAGGGTCTTTGTCATATTTGTTCTCTGTTTGAAGTAAATTCCCTTCCTTCCCTGTTAAGTTGGTATTCAGTCCCTATCATCTTTATAGTTATTATTTCCCAGCTATAACATATCACTGATTTATTTGGTATTTAGCTCCCTATCATCTTTATTGCAATTCAGTAATTAAGGTTAAGTTTAATCTTATGAATGCAATGTATAAATGAATCACTCATGCACACTGCCATAATAAGCATATTGCAAATAATGGGATATTTGTAACTAAGGTTTTTGTCATATTTGTTCTAAATTATCAGTTAAGTTAATGTTAGGATGCAATGTCTAAATTAATCAATCATGCACACAACGTTATTATAGGCATATTGCAATAATGGGATAGCAGTATCTAAGTTTTGTTCATATTTATTCCCTGTTTTCAGTAAATTCCCTTTCATCCCTGTTTACTTGGTATTCATACCCCTATCATCTTTATAATAATTATTTCCCAGCCATAGCCTACCACTGATTTATCAAATAAGCTAAGGTTAGTATGCAATGTCTAAATGAATCACTGATGCACACACCGCTATTATAGGCATTCCAATAATGGGATATTAGTATCTAGGGTCTTTGTCATATTTGTTCTCTGTTTGAAGTAAATTCCCATTCTTCTCTGTTAAGTTGGTATTCAGTCCCTATCATCTTTATAGTAATTATTTCCCAGCTATAACATATTACTGATTTATCAATTAAGTTAAGGTTAGGTGTAATCTTATGAATGCAGTATCTAAATGAATCACGCACACACCGTCATTTAGGCATTGCAATCATGAGATTCTAGTGTCTGGTTTTGTAAAGTTATTGATTCTCTCTTTTAAGTAAATTCCAGTCCTTCCCTGTTTAGTTGGTATTTAGCTCCCTATCATCTTTATAGTAATTATTTAGCAGCCATAACTCATCACTGATTTAATAATTAAGTTAAGGTTAGGATGCAATGTCTAAATGAATCACTCATGCCCATACCGCCATTAAAGGCATTGCAATAATGGTATATGAGTTTCTAGGGTTTTTGTCATATTTCTACTCTGTTTGAAGTAAATGCCCTTCTTCCCTGTTTACTTGGTATTCATACCCCTATCATCTTTATAATAATTATTTCCCAGCCATAGCCTACCACTGATTTATCAAATAAGCTAAGGTTAGGATGCAATGTTTGAATGTATCACTCATGCACACACAGCTATTATAGGCATTCCAATAATGGGATATTAGTATCTAGGGTCTTTGTCATATTTGTTCTCTGTTTGAAGTAAATTCCCTTCCTTCCCCGTTAAGTTGGTATTCAGTCCCTATCATCTTTATAGTTATTATTTCCCAGCTATAACATATCACTGATTTATTTGGTATTTAGCTCCCTATCATCTTTATTGCAATTCAGTAATTAAGGTTAAGTTTAATCTTATGAATGCAATGTATAAATGAATCACTCATGCACACTGCCATAATAAGCATATTGCAAATAATGGGATATTTGTAACTAAGGTTTTTGTCATATTTGTTCTAAATTATCAGTTAAGTTAATGTTAGGATGCAATGTCTAAATTAATCAATCATGCACACACCGTTATTATAGGCATATTGCAATAATGGGATAGCAGTATCTAAGTTTTGTTCATATTTATTCCCTGTTTTCAGTAAATTCCCTTTCATCCCTGTTTACTTGGTATTCATACCCCTATCATCTTTATAATAATTATTTCCCAGCCATAGCCTACCACTGATTTATCAAATAAGCTAAGGTTAGTATGCAATGTCTAAATGAATCACTGATGCACACACCGCTATTATAGGCATTCCAATAATGGGATATTAGTATCTAGGGTCTTTGTCATATTTGTTCTCTGTTTGAAGTAAATTCCCATTCTTCTCTGTTAAGTTGGTATTCAGTCCCTATCATCTTTATAGTAATTATTTCCCAGCTATAACATATTACTGATTTATCAATTAAGTTAAGGTTAGGTGTAATCTTATGAATGCAGTATCTAAATGAATCACGCACACACCGTCATTTAGGCATTGCAATCATGAGATTCTAGTGTCTGGTTTTGTAAAGTTATTGATTCTCTCTTTTAAGTAAATTCCAGTCCTTCCCTGTTTAGTTGGTATTTAGCTCCCTATCATCTTTATAGTAATTATTTAGCAGCCATAACTCATCACTGATTTAATAATTAAGTTAAGGTTAGGATGCAATGTCTAAATGAATCACTCATGCCCATACCGCCATTAAAGGCATTGCAATAATGGTATATGAGTTTCTGGGTTTTTGTCATATTTTGAAGTTTTTGTCATATTTCTACTCTGTTTGAAGTAAATGCCCTTCTTCCCTGTTTACTTGGTATTCATACCCCTATCATCTTTTATAATAATTATTTCCCAGCCATAGCCTACCACTGATTTATCAAATAAGCTAAGGTTAGGATGCAATGTTTGAATGTATCACTCATGCACACACTGCTATTATAGGCATTCCAATAATGGGATATTAGTATCTAGGGTCTTTGTCATATTTGTTCTCTGTTTGAAGTAAATTCCCTTCCTTCCCTGTTAAGTTGGTATTCAGTCCCTATCATCTTTATAGTTATTATTTCCCAGCTATAACATATCACTGATTTATTTGGTATTTAGCTCCCTATCATCTTTATTGCAATTCAGTAATTAAGGTTAAGTTTAATCTTATGAATGCAATGTATAAATGAATCACTCATGCACACTGCCATAATAAGCATATTGCAAATAATGGGATATTTGTAACTAAGGTTTTTGTCATATTTGTTCTATAAGTTATCAGTTAAGTTAATGTTAGGATGCAATGTCTAAATTAATCAATCATGCACACAACGTTATTATAGGCATATTGCAATAATGGGATAGCAGTATCTAAGTTTTGTTCATATTTATTCCCTGTTTTCAGTAAATTCCCTTTCATCCCTGTTTACTTGGTATTCATACCCCTATCATCTTTATAATAATTATTTCCCAGCCATAGCCTACCACTGATTTATCAAATAAGCTAAGGTTAGTATGCAATGTCTAAATGAATCACTGATGCACACACCGCTATTATAGGCATTCCAATAATGGGATATTAGTATCTAGGGTCTTTGTCATATTTGTTCTCTGTTTGAAGTAAATTCCCATTCTTCTCTGTTAAGTTGGTATTCAGTCCCTATCATCTTTATAGTAATTATTTCCCAGCTATAACATATTACTGATTTATCAATTAAGTTAAGGTTAGGTGTAATCTTATGAATGCAGTATCTAAATGAATCACGCACACACCGTCATTTAGGCATTGCAATCATGAGATTCTAGTGTCTGGTTTTGTAAAGTTATTGATTCTCTCTTTTAAGTAAATTCCAGTCCTTCCCTGTTTAGTTGGTATTTAGCTCCCTATCATCTTTATAGTAATTATTTAGCAGCCATAACTCATCACTGATTTAATAATTAAGTTAAGGTTAGGATGCAATGTCTAAATGAATCACTCATGCCCATACCGCCATTAAAGGCATTGCAATAATGGTATATGAGTTTCTAGGGTTTTTGTCATATTTCTACTCTGTTTGAAGTAAATGCCCTTCTTCCCTGTTTACTTGGTATTCATACCCCTATCATCTTTATAATAATTATTTCCCAGCCATAGCCTACCACTGATTTATCAAATAAGCTAAGGTTAGGATGCAATGTTTGAATGTATCACTCATGCACACACAGCTATTATAGGCATTCCAATAATGGGATATTAGTATCTAGGGTCTTTGTCATATTTGTTCATATTTGTTCTCTGTTATTCCCTTCCTTCCCCGTTAAGTTGGTATTCAGTCCCTATCATCTTTATAGTTATTATTTCCCAGCTATAACATATCACTGATTTATTTGGTATTTAGCTCCCTATCATCTTTATTGCAATTCAGTAATTAAGGTTAAGTTTAATCTTATGAATGCAATGTATAAATGAATCACTCATGCACACTGCCATAATAAGCATATTGCAAATAATGGGATATTTGTAACTAAGGTTTTTGTCATATTTGTTCTAAATTATCAGTTAAGTTAATGTTAGGATGCAATGTCTAAATTAATCAATCATGCACACACCGTTATTATAGGCATATTGCAATAATGGGATAGCAGTATCTAAGTTTTGTTCATATTTATTCCCTGTTTTCAGTAAATTCCCTTTCATCCCTGTTTACTTGGTATTCATACCCCTATCATCTTTATAATAATTATTTCCCAGCCATAGCCTACCACTGATTTATCAAATAAGCTAAGGTTAGTATTAAATGATCTACCACTGATTTATCAAATAAGCTAAGGTTAGTATGCAATGTCTAAATGAATCACTGATGCACACACCGCTATTATAGGCATTCCAATAATGGGATATTAGTATCTAGGGTCTTTGTCATATTTGTTCTCTGTTTGAAGTAAATTCCCATTCTTCTCTGTTAAGTTGGTATTCAGTCCCTATCATCTTTATAGTAATTATTTCCCAGCTATAACATATTACTGATTTATCAATTAAGTTAAGGTTAGGTGTAATCTTATGAATGCAGTATCTAAATGAATCACGCACACACCGTCATTTAGGCATTGCAATCATGAGATTCTAGTGTCTGGTTTTGTAAAGTTATTGATTCTCTCTTTTAAGTAAATTCCAGTCCTTCCCTGTTTAGTTGGTATTTAGCTCCCTATCATCTTTATAGTAATTATTTAGCAGCCATAACTCATCACTGATTTAATAATTAAGTTAAGGTTAGGATGCAATGTCTAAATGAATCACTCATGCCCATACCGCCATTAAAGGCATTGCAATAATGGTATATGAGTTTCTGGGGTTTTTGTCATATTTCTACTCTGTTTGAAGTAAATGCCCTTCTTCCCTGTTTACTTGGTATTCATACCCCTATCATCTTTATAATAATTATTTCCCAGCCATAGCCTACCACTGATTTATCAAATAAGCTAAGGTTAGGATGCAATGTTTGAATGTATCACTCATGCACACACAGCTATTATAGGCATTCCAATAATGGGATATTAGTATCTAGGGTCTTTGTCATATTTGTTCTCTGTTTGAAGTAAATTCCCTTCCTTCCCTGTTAAGTTGGTATTCAGTCCCTATCATCTTTATAGTTATTATTTCCCAGCTATAACATATCACTGATTTATTTGGTATTTAGCTCCCTATCATCTTTATTGCAATTCAGTAATTAAGGTTAAGTTTAATCTTATGAATGCAATGTATAAATGAATCACTCATGCACACTGCCATAATAAGCATATTGCAAATAATGGGATATTTGTAACTAAGGTTTTTGTCATATTTGTTCTAAATTATCAGTTAAGTTAATGTTAGGATGCAATGTCTAAATTAATCAATCATGCACACAACGTTATTATAGGCATATTGCAATAATGGGATAGCAGTATCTAAGTTTTGTTCATATTTATTCCCTGTTTTCAGTAAATTCCCTTTCATCCCTGTTTACTTGGTATTCATACCCCTATCATCTTTATAATAATTATTTCCCAGCCATAGCCTACCACTGATTTATCAAATAAGCTAAGGTTAGTATGCAATGTCTAAATGAATCACTGATGCACACACCGCTATTATAGGCATTCCAATAATGGGATATTAGTATCTAGGGTCTTTGTCATATTTGTTCTCTGTTTGAAGTAAATTCCCATTCTTCTCTGTTAAGTTGGTATTCAGTCCCTATCATCTTTATAGTAATTATTTCCCAGCTATAACATATTACTGATTTATCAATTAAGTTAGGGTAATAATCTCGCCATTGCAATCATGAGATATTGTAATTATTGATTCTCTCTTTTAAGTAAATTCCAGTTTCCCTGTTTAGTTGGTATTTAGCTCCCTATCATCTTTATAGTATGAATGCAGTAAATGAATCACGCACACACCGTCATTTAGGCATTGCAATCATGAGATTCTAGTGTCTGGTTTTGTAAAGTTATTGATTCTCTCTTTTAAGTAAATTCCAGTCCTTCCCTGTTTAGTTGGTATTTAGCTCCCTATCATCTTTATAGTAATTATTTAGCAGCCATAACTCATCACTGATTTAATAATTAAGTTAAGGTTAGGATGCAATGTCTAAATGAATCACTCATGCCCATACCGCCATTAAAGGCATTGCAATAATGGTATATGAGTTTCTAGGGTTTTTGTCATATTTCTACTCTGTTTGAAGTAAATGCCCTTCTTCCCTGTTTACTTGGTATTCATACCCCTATCATCTTTATAATAATTATTTCCCAGCCATAGCCTACCACTGATTTATCAAATAAGCTAAGGTTAGGATGCAATGTTTGAATGTATCACTCATGCACACACAGCTATTATAGGCATTCCAATAATGGGATAATAGTATCTAGGGTCTTTGTCATATTTGTTCTCTGTTTGAAGTAAATTCCCTTCCTTCCCTGTTAAGTTGGTATTCAGTCCCTATCATCTTTATAGTTATTATTTCCCAGCTATAACATATCACTGATTTATTTGGTATTTAGCTCCCTATCATCTTTATTGTAATTCAGTAATTAAGGTTAAGTTTAATCTTATGAATGCAATGTATAAATGAATCACTCATGCACACTGCCATAATAAGCATATTGCAAATAATGGGATATTTGTAACTAAGGTTTTTGTCATATTTGTTCTAAATTATCAGTTAAGTTAATGTTAGGATGCAATGTCTAAATTAATCAATCATGCACACAACGTTATTATAGGCATATTGCAATAATGGGATAGCAGTATCTAAGTTTTGTTCATATTTATTCCCTGTTTTCAGTAAATTCCCTTTCATCCCTGTTTACTTGGTATTCATACCCCTATCATCTTTATAATAATTATTTCCCAGCCATAGCCTACCACTGATTTATCAAATAAGCTAAGGTTAGTATGCAATGTCTAAATGAATCACTGATGCACACACCGCTATTATAGGCATTCCAATAATGGGATATTAGTATCTAGGGTCTTTGTCATATTTGTTCTCTGTTTGAAGTAAATTCCCATTCTTCTCTGTTAAGTTGGTATTCAGTCCCTATCATCTTTATAGTAATTATTTCCCAGCTATAACATATTACTGATTTATCAATTAAGTTAAGGTTAGGTGTAATCTTATGAATGCAGTATCTAAATGAATCACGCACACACCGTCATTTAGGCATTGCAATCATGAGATTCTAGTGTCTGGTTTTGTAAAGTTATTGATTCTCTCTTTTAAGTAAATTCCAGTCCTTCCCTGTTTAGTTGGTATTTAGCTCCCTATCATCTTTATAGTAATTATTTAGCAGCCATAACTCATCACTGATTTAATAATTAAGTTAACATGAATGATGCATCAAGGGATGGACACTACCAGACTTGCTTCGGATGCTGGATCTGACCTATATTTTTATTCTCAAGTAACTATAAGCCCTTCCTAAACCAAACTTGCATGGATGATGCATCTAGGGATGGACACTACCAGACTTGCTTCAGATGCTGGATCTGACCTGTATTTTTATTCCCAAGTAACTATAAGCCCTACTTGGACCAAACTTGCTTGGATGATGCATCTAGGGATGGACACTACCAGACTTGCTTCGGATGCTGGATCTGACCTGTATTTTTAATCCCAAGTAACTATAAGCCCTACCTAAATCAAAATTGCATGGATGATGCATCTAGGGATGGACACTACCAGACTTGCTTCGGATGCTGGATCTGACCTATATTTTTATTCCCAAGTAACTATAAGCCGTACCTGAACCAAACTTACATGAATGATGCATCAAGGGATGGACACTACCAGACTTGCTTCGGATGCTGGATCTGACCTATATTTTT